CGAGTATATAATTCTATATATACACGCACACACATGGGTAAAAGTCTATAAGATCGCACTTATGTTGCACCTAGTGGCACGGCAAAAGCATGTGTATCCGCGCGTGGAGCGCGCGCCTTTGTCGATGTGTATTTTAATTGGCTAAGGTCATCTCGTGAACGCGGCTTATATTTTTTTACAACGCGAAAATATGCCAATTTCGATGCCCGAGAATGCCGCGACAACCTTTCCTTTTACATATATATCTTTTATCATTTATTATTATTTTTTGTGCCAAATACAGGAAAGGATCGCGTCGACGTTGTACAGTGCATCGGGTTAGAAACGGTCGAAGAAAGAACGAAGGAAAATGAATAAAATAACACGAGCTCGCGGGATTTAGACTCTCTCGCTATAGAATCGAAAAGTTGATTCCGCGTAATGTACAAAACTTGGCGCATCCCGAGAATCGAGGCTTCGTTCTGGCTTAGCGCGATTAAAAACACAAACACACGACTCGATGAGGCGACACATTAAAAGTGTAACGCATTCGATATTTCAGGGAATACACACACACACGAGTCACAGTACGATATATTATTTTAATATTGTTGTGTATGCGCTAGCGAAAATCGTTATGTGCTACTGCTATTTAATGCGAAACGTATTATACGAACATGGAGGCGATACACACACAGACAGACACAGAGAGACAATGTGCCAACTTGGAAAAGTTCGCTATTCAAAAGCTCCGGAGCGTGTAGTTCGCGCGCGCGCGCGACACACGCGCGAGATATTACATTCAACCCTTTTCGAATATAAATGCAAAACTGTCACACGCGGCAGCGGCGGCCGTAAAAACCTCCCTCCCCCTTCCCTCTTACCTCTTTTGTGTTACATTGACATATTAATTCAAGTTTGATAAAGCCTAGGCTTGAGAGAGACAGAGAGAGAGAGAGAGAGAGGTAGAAAAGCTCGGGAGGATGAAGCACACATACACACACAAAAAAAAAGAATAAATAAAAGACACGTGACAGGCGCACTCGCGAAAGTTGTAACATCGGCGCGCGCGCGTGTGCGCGAGAACAATCGCAGAGCTGCGCGCGTTAATCATCGCGAGAATTCCGGAAAGCGCAGCAGCGATACACGATATCGATACAGCTGTGAAATCGTTCGAGTGACGTTTCAAGATTCGCGCAATAATCGATTTCGCGCTCACTTGTATAATCTCTCGTTGGTTTTATTGTATACATTAAAACGTTGATCGCAAAGCTCGCTGGCATGCGCGTGCCTATAGAGAGAGAGGCTCATTGCCGGATTATGCGGCGTATACGTTGCGCAAAAAGCTCTCCCTTGGCCATGTATTCGAGAAGCTGTCAAACGCCCCGAGAGATTTTATAATATGTCTCTTCTAAAAATTCACGACTAGCATGCGTGCGTGCGCGTGTGTGTGTGTGTAAATGTGCGTCGTGTGCCACCACCGCCACTAGCTCGATGCTTTGACGCAAATCTTAACCTACATAAAATAATATCGTACACGCGCGAACGAGAGCGAGTTTAGTAATTTTACGATTTCTCAAAAGCTCCGCGCGACTTCGACTATACGACGACCCAAGAAGTTGCTGGTGGTGGTGGTGGTGGTTGCGGCGATGCATCGAACCGTATATATATTTTTCGTGGAGCTTTAAAAAAAAAAAGAAGAAGAAGAAGAAGAAAAAAGAATCAATCCCTTCTCTCGCTCGCTCGGCAGGGGCTTTATTATGAGCGACATGTTTCGGTCAAGTACGAAGCCCGAGCAATATCAAGTTCGCGTATGCGCCAGCAGAGGTAGAGTACGCTACTCGCGCACAGAGAGCGCCGCTGTCTAGGATAAAGGAGTTTCATACATTAATATAATTCAACATAGTTCATTCGTTGATGTTTTGTAACAATCGTCTACGAGGTATACGCACACATACGTACAAACAATCGTTTTCTCGAGCTAACCAATGCGTCGACTTGTGGCCCATTTCCTTCTCACTTTCTTTTTTCCCCCCTACACGTTCGCAGCTCGAAGGAGGGAAAAAAAACGCGTGACGTCAATTTACTATTTTTGAGCCGTGTGATTATCGTGTAATATGTACCGAGCGCGCGACGTCGCCTCGAGTCTCGAGTCACTACTCCGCGAGCGTTGCAATGTGCATGAAAAAAAAAAAAGAAAAAAAAAAGAAATCGATAAGTTTAATGGTCGGTAATGTTGACCGAATGATTCCAATTATCGTACTACACCACCGCTGCTCGTGCTTTTCTTTCTTTCTTTCTTTTTTTTTCACCCGAGTGGAGTTATTCGCATTTCAAAGAGCCTAGCACGGCTCTCGCTCGATAAAGCTCATCCGCGAGTCCGCTCGCTCGCGGTTAATAGAAAATAGGGAAACGCAGCACACGTATAGCAGCAGCAGCAGCAGCAGCAGCAGCACTACTATTTTGCCTACTATTTACAGCGAGTTAAGCCAAGATCATATATTTTCCCGCTATGTATAAGAGAGAGAGAGAGAGAGAGAAAGCCACGAGCTCGCGCGCGTGTGTATATAAATTTCGTCGACGAAAAGAGAGCCTAGCGTTCCCGAAATAATACACAGAGCGGCTGGAGGACGCGAGGCAGCGACTCTACTATACTATTGCTGCTGCTGCTGCTGTGAAGTTGCTCTCAATAAGCTCTAAAGTACGCGCGTGTGTATGTATGTATGTGTGTGAGCGAGCGTGCGAGCGTAAGCTCAATGCAAAGAAGAAGAAGAAGAAGAAGAAGAAGCAACGGCGGCAACGGCGTCAGTAGTAGTTGTAGTAGTAGTAGTAGCAGAGACGCCCTTCTATATAACTACCCAAAGCTCGACGACGTTACATAAGCGTAAAAGCTGCACGATGTGGAAGGGGGGGGGGCACAGGGGAGGAGGGGGGTTGTGAAGAGAGAGAAAGAGGAGGGAGGAAGAGGTCGAGGCCCGATGATCGTGATGAGGCGTATGCGGTTTTCTCTTTCTCTCTCTCTCTTCTTCTCTTTCAGTGTTAGCGACTTTTCTGAATGGGATGGTCTATTATAAGGGCACGTATGTGGCTGTGAGCTTCAGCAGCAGCAGCAACATCGACGCACGTGGGTGACTCTCCTACGTCTCTCTCGCTCGATCGTTTCTTTTGCGCCTCGAAGCAGCGCTCGCGCGCGTACAAAAGTTTTCGACGATATCCGACGCGAATCCCCATTGATTTCCTTCGATTTCATAGCTGAATCGTTTTCGCCAGCGAAATCGTTGCCGTTCGCGAGCTCGAATACATTCGTTCGAAGCTTCCTCTCATTGAGAAGTCCATCGAGCTTGCAAGCTCGTGTCGATATGCCTCGCGCGATCGAAGCTCGAGACACGCGCGCGCGTTCGTCGTATTTTTGGAGCGATTCGATTCCGAAGAGAACGAGAAAGGGAATTCGTATACAGACTCGCGGCGCGTATAAGCTCGAGAGTCGCGCTCGATCGTGTCCCCCGGCATGTATAGCGAGCTTATAAAGCGCAGCCAGATTATACGCATACACATGCAAGCGGGAATATCGGTGTTGCCCGACGATACATTGCGTATTGCTCCCCTGAGTCGAGAAAAGAAGACGACGACGACGACGATTTGGTCACTCACGTTGGGTGCTTTTCTCGGGGCTCGTGACTAGTCAAGGCCTGCCAATTCTCTGTTGCCACTAGCGCTCGCGCGCCGATCTCTACCTGAGTCTGTGTGTGCGCGCGCGTGTGTGTGTGTGTCTAAATGTCTGCGCGTATATAAAACAGAACAGCAATAGCAAAGAGCGAGACGAGGCTGTCTCGTGTAAATCGCTTTTGCAGAGAATCAAAGAAAATAAGAAGAAAAAAAAATGAGAAAAAATAAAAAATTAGTCCAATAATTCGTGCGCGTATGCTGCTGCTGCTGCTGCTGCTGCTGCTGACAGCGTCTCTCGCAATGACCATTATATACGCGATACCGAGGAAAAGTCCAATTGTAATTTTCCCCCAATTGTACAGCTCGACTCGTGCTGAAAACTCGTTTGTGTGTGTGTGTGTGTGTATTGCTATCGCGCGGCAGCGGCCTCCGCAAGCTCTGCGCAGCAACCGTACACCAATTGTACATTATACACGCGTCAAACGTGTCAGTACACACGACCCAACGTTACAAAGCTCTCGAGGCATGAATGAAGAAACAAAAAAAAAAAGATTTCAGTAGAGCCGAGTAAAAAAGAAAGGAGTCGTTTTTTTCCGCGACTTTATATTCGCAGTCTCGAGCGTGCGCGCGTACCCGGTGGTCTCTCTCTATCGAAGCAGACTCTTACATTACGTACGAGCGTCGCATGCTGCACAAACACACAGCCCTTGCGTAGGGTATACACAAGCGCGCTCGCACACTCGCAGTACATCAGCAGACAGATAGAGAGAGAGAACGAGACTCGCACGCACATATTCGCAAGCTCGCGCTCGCTCGCTCTCTCTCTCTCTCTCTGGTTAGCTCGAGTACGAATCGATAAAACCGCACACTCGTGCTGTGTCTTTCTCGATCGCGCGCACGGCTACAGTCAGGCACACACTCGCACACACACACACACACAAACGCGTCTCGGTGTATCTCTATTTCTACTCCGTGTACGCGTGTCCGTGGGTGTATCGAATGTTCACGTTGAAATAACCGCACGAATATCTAGCGTGATAATTCTTGCCTCGTTGTCGTAGTTTTTTTTCTTTCGTCTCTCCTCCTCGGTAGTACACCGCAACCTATCTCCGTACACGGCTATATAACCTATAACCCTGTACCATTGCGCGCGCGCGAAGGAACGAGCGTGTGCTTGCACGGTATACCCGACTCGACTTCTCCACAAGTTATATCTCCGTGTAGGATATGTATCGCGTGTGTGCGACTGTAACGAGGCGCGCACTGCAAGCACGACGACGACGCGAGTAAAAAAAGAGGAGCGGAACACAGAGAGAGAAAAAAAAAAGAAAAGAAATGCCGTGTTGGCAACTAACTAAGCGAGCTTGCAGCAACGAGGTAGAACGGTTGTTGCTGCTGCGACTACTGGCGCGAATAGAGCTGTTGATAATGTTGTTGTTGCTGCTGTTGCTGTCGATGATGATGGAAAACGATCCAGTCGTCGTCACATGAGACTCGCACTATCGAGCCTCTGCGCGGGCACGATCGGAGGTTCCATCGTCGATTTTTTTTGTCGTCTCGCACTTTACTTAATTTTTTTTTTTTTTTTTTTCGTTATCGTCGTCTCGAGCTTTTATACCATGCGTAGTATATTGCTCTCGCACCACTGCGTGTATCTGATAATACAACCCCCGAGAGAGACGACGGCACTTGTCAATAAAACTTGACGACGCACTTTTTTTCAGTTGCTGTTGTTGTTGCTGCTGCTGTCGTCGTCACGCAGTCGTTGTTGAGAAACGGGAACGATGTGGGGGGGACGGGCGTCGAATACTTTTTTTTTTGCACCAGATTCTGCTGTCACCAGAAAAAAAAAAATCGAAGCACAAGTTAGTAATCGAAGCACCACTATACGTGTAATTTTTTTTTTTTTATTATTTCAGCCGGGAATATCTCCGCTCTCTCTCTCGCACAACGGCCTCGGGCGCGCACACAGCACACGGCAGCACACCGATGTCGTTTGTCGTCTGCTAATCCTGCCTGTGTATCATAACGTGCACGATAACACTGGGGCCCATGTATTAGTGTGTATGTGTGTGTGTGTGTGTGTGTGTGGGGGGGGGGGGGGGGGGGNGGGGGGGGGGGGGGGGTGAATGTGTGTACGATATATATGTCAGTGTGATCACTGGTTCTATGCGTGAACGTGTGTGTGCATAAATATATATATTTATATACACACACGAGCTTGCAAGCACAGTCGCACGCGCGCACTCTCACTCGGTCGGTCGGTCGGTCGGTCGCGACGTTGAGACACACACGGCAGCTGCACGTATACACAGAGCTAGCTAGCTAGAGCAGAGCTGGCTCTCTTCGCGGGGGCTCTCTCCTCTTCTCTCGTCTCTGTGCTATATGTGAACGAGACTGCGTCGTCGATTCTGGCGAGCCTAGAGAGAGAGAGAGCGAGAGCACAGCGGTAAAAGCACACACAGAGACACATACACACACACGCGCGAGGGAGAGAACGAGCTAGAGGGAGACAGAGAGCGTATGACGGCTGCGGCGGCGGCTACTCTCTCTGACTGTGTAGCGGGGCGGCAGCGACGGTTGCGGCGGCGGTTAACGCAGCAGAGAATATCTCTCGTATATATAGACTGACATACACATACACAAACATACAGTAACGGAGGTAGCAGCAGGCGAGCGACGAGCGAACGAGGGAGCAAGAGAGAGAGAGAGAGAGCAAAACGAAAATCGCTTTGCCTCGTTGCTATAAATAAGTTGCCTTCTTCTTTTAATTCTTCTCGCCTCGTCGTCGTCTTCTGCTATACTAAACGCAGCTCTCGATGTCTGCCGCCGTTGCTGCTGCTGCTGCTGCTTTTTATTCTCTGCCGTAAAGCTCTGCGCCGAGCTGCCTCTTAACGGCGTGAGAGGCAGTCGGTCGTCGCTGCGACTGTCCACGAGCACGTCGGCGACGAGGAACACGTCTCTCGCTCTCTTATGTCAACGTTTTTATAACTGATGTCACCTTTGCCTCGGCACATGACATCGACTCCGATACGTCATTCTTCTTCAACGGTGTGCGTTGTGTCCAAACTGGTTTTTTTCCCTCTTCTTCTTCTTCTTCTTCTTTCTTTTCGTTATTATATCATGATCGGTTTTTATTCGACAGAAGCCTCGCAGCAGCAGCAGCAGTAGCATAACATGCGCATATCACATTCACACACGCACAAGGTGGAAATATTTCGAAGCACCGCATTCGTAATAAGGGCAAAGCGAAAGAGAGACGAACCAAGATTTTTGACATTTATGTATCACCTGTTTTTCCCTCGACTTTTACAACGGCACGCGTGCGCGACTGAATTTATCATTTACGACCAGCCCTAATGATTATACTCGGGAGGGTGATTATGTTGGCGCGCATTGAAAAAAGAAAAACGTATACAGATATAGATACGTAATTAAATAAAAGCTCCGCGGAAAGCGCAAAATATATAATATAAAAGCTCTCGGGCGCGCGCGCGCGTCGACGCTCGCGAGACATTCATCAAGAGCGAGCGAGCGAGAGAGAGGTCGTACAAGAGCGTGAATGATCGCATCGACTTTGTAAGTAGAGCGCAAGAAGAAGCTGTGCAGAGAGAGAGCGCGCGGATTCTCTCTCTCTCCCTCTCGTACCCCAGTGGACTGCTAACTTATAATACAGCAGCAGCAGCAGTGGCTGTACGGCATAGATACAGTCCTCCGCGCTGCTGCTATATAATATAGCGATTACCAAGTGAAGAATCCTAAGGCTTGGTCAGACGCGTCGCACACATAAAAGCTCGTATGCACACACACACACACACGAAAAGAAAAGCTTGCAGCATCGAGTATATAATAGCGCGTATACATATATCGTGGCAGAGGGAGCACTAGTGTGCTTGCGTATGTCTGACCGTCCCTGTGTGTCTGTGTATGTCTTGGTGTGTATAGATATGTACGTGAATGTACGTACGTGTGCGTGTGTGTGTGTGTGTCTTTGCGTGTGTCCTATACGTATACGTGTGTTGGTGTGGCGGTGGCAGCGCTCTCTGTTCCCCGGGACCAACTCCCCGGGGCTCAAGGTCGCTGCACACACTCTCTCGCACACACACACACACACACACACACACTCGCTAACACACACACGCACACGAACGCGCAGGTTACACTACACTCGTCGGTCCAATGGCATATAACGGCACACACTGGCACATATAACGCGATGTATACTGCACTGCACTGCACACATACACGTCTACACACACACCTACACACTTACGTATTTTTAATAGCTAATATATTCGCTATTATGTATTGCACGGAGGAACGACGACGGCGCGTCGTGCGCTGTGTGTTGCATATATAACTTTGAATCTCCACCACTGCTGCCGTGCTGCATTATACATATATATTTCTCCTACTTTGCCATATAATCTCTCTCTCTCTCTCTCTTTCTCTCTTGCTTTCTTACCACTCGCTACTAGTCGATCGATCATCCGCGCGCATATACACACACTCCGCGCGCTGCAAGCACACACACACACACACACACACACTCGAATATATGTATAACTGCAAGTACACGAGCGAGTGTGAGTGAGTGTGTGGTACTGCACACACACAAATACACTCACACACATAGACACACGCGTCGTACTGTATCGAGTATCCACCACACAAAACCACTCCTTTTGTGATTCGCCTTTTTCGTATATACTTTATATTCTAGCGCGAAAAATTGCATCCCCCGCAACGACGAGTGAATATTTCATACGAATCCATCGTTGTCACGTTAACGTAAGCCTGTCAAACACACATTTAGACACAGACACACACACTCGCGAGACAGAGAGACTATACTACACGCGGAGAACCCTGTGTACGTATAATGTGTTGCTGTGTGTGCTAGGGTGTGCTGGTGTGCGCGCTCAGGCCCAAAAACTATCGTTCGATTGATTTTTTTTCTCTTGCATTATGCATATATCTCCGACGCACCGACACGACGACGACGATGACGACGATGAGGACGACCGATGGTCTACAGCGAAACGACACAGCGTCGAGTTACGAGGAGAAGAAAAAAAGTGTTGCAAGCTCGCGCACGGGGGGTCGTACGAACGAACGAACGAACGAACGAACGAAAAAAAGGAGAAAAAAGAAAACTATCGATAAATCGGAGAATACATTTTCGGAGCACGTATATATGATGTGTGTATCGAGCGCGCGATGGGCAGCAGCGGCGACGGCGGCAACGGCAACGGCTACGACGTCGATCACACTGCAGCCGAGCAAATATTAAATACACACACACACGCACACAGCGAGAGATAATGAATGATACGTAGCATGTAACTTGCGCATATATATATCGATGTATTATATATGCACACAGATACACAAGAACACAACTCGGGTCACACGCACCTCGTTATATATTATATATATATGAATTGCGAGTTTTATACTGTATATATATATCAGCTGTATTATTATTATTACTATTTTATATATGTATCCGTGCTATATATATATATATATGTGTGTATATTCGCACACGACGGCTCAGCCTCGCCAGTACTCAGGCCGTCGTACAACTGGCTATATTTCGCTCTTATTGCTGCACACCTACCTACTACCTCTCTCTCTCTCTCTTCGACGCGCATCATATACAGTTATAGCGTACACGGGCTCGTGCGCGACTCCGCTGCATATACACACACATTATATATACGGAGAGGTTGTGCGAGAGAGCGAGAAAGCCCGATATTGCCAACGCCGCCGCCGCCGCCGTCGCCGCCGCTGCTTCTGCTGCTGCGCGAGAAAAAGCAGTAGCGGAGCCGAGTGCGCTGTGTGTGCTCCGCCGTCCCCTCCCTATTTTATACGGCCGAGATATATCTATATAGATGTGGAAGTGCTGCTGCTGCTGCTGCTGTACTCTCGGGTTGAGCCGATGGTGTGTTATACGCATGCGCGGGCGTATTCGACGTACACTGGTACGTCGACCGTAGTCGACGATTTTTACCCGAACGCACGCACACACACACATACACTTACAGGAGGTAGGACCGACTATATGGGTTGGTAGTGCGTTCGGCTGCGCAAAGCGAGTGATGTATTCTCGGGTTATATATCCCTCAGACACGATGACACGTGGGACGTGGTATGTAGGCACGCACACACATAGACATTTACTCGAATGCGTGCGTATACGAGTATGTGTGTATTATACATACCCTAGGTCTGGCTGCACTCGGTCCAACGAGAATCACGTGCACACATGCAAACACATACGTATACACAGCAGCAGCAGCAGCAGCAGGAGAAGATCGAGTACACGAGAGTCGTACAGAGCGCATATTTGCGTGTTTGCGCGAGCCCCCAGAGTTTGATTAATTCTCCTCCCTATTTTTTTCCTTTTTTCTTTTCTTTTTTTTTTTTTTTGGAATAGCTTTGTGTACCACGTAAGAGAGAGAGAAAGAGTCGAGCTTTGTAGGTGTTATATATATATCCTGCAAGCTCGCACACAATTGAGCGGACGCCGCCGCCGCCGCCACCGACGCTGCTGCTGCTGCTATGCGCGCAGGCGAGCGTGTAGTTTTACCACTCGAGAGATCTATCCGAGTCGAGCTGCGAGCTGAGAGACTATATACGGTCTAGGAGCTAGAGAGTTATTTGTTTTGAAAAAAAAAGTTTAAAAGGCCGGAGAGACAGAGAGAATTCGGGTCACTCGTACTTGAACTTGATTATATCGTGTGTGCACTCAAATCTGAGCCTCTCCGTGGTATACGTATATATACTATACATTATATCGTGTATATGTATGTGTGTCACCTCACATACTCTACTCACACACACACACACAATCGAGAGGCAGCAGCAATTGACCTTGATAAAACTTTGACGTACATAATACACATAATCAGTACTCAAGATGCGTCATTTGAACTATAAAGCTGGCTGCCTATGATTTATTGTTCGGCGGCTAATTGGCCGTTATCGTGTCGCTGGCGCGCGCTTATATACATACCTACATATATATATAGACACGATATATGTATACGTAAACAGGCGCGCGACACGGCTCACGACTCCCTGAGACTCGGAGAGAGAGAGAGAGAGAGAGAAAAGCAGGTATGACTTTTAAATCCAGTCGACAAATATACGTGCGCGCCACACGAGGGCATACACACATATATAGAGTGCAATTTATGCACAACAGCAGCAAGTTCGCGCTCGAAATGCGTAATGACTCGCGAGAGAGAAAGAGAGAAGAGGTAAAGCAATAATGCCACTTTTGCCGCCCACCCCCTGTACCCTATATATTCCCTACCCTCTCCCCATATAAACATTATGTAAGCTTGTTTCAACAAGCTTTGCAACCAAATGAATATTCCATGTACCACGCTCACATACACAAACACGTACACACAGACACACAAACACAAAGATATATAATATATATCTGGATACGTGTGTATACGCGGGTCGTACGTATATCAGCGTGTGGCGCGTCTGACCATATCTAGTGATCCGCTACTTAACTCGCTAAACGATGATATATAGACTGCATTAAATCTCGTACGCACGTATATATCTCGCGTATACATCGCCTCGATATACAATATTATAATAATCGTTCGTCGCTCGGCAAGAGAGAGATCACACACACACACGAGAGGGGGGTGAAAAGATATTCAGCTTGCGCTTTTTTGCGCGATACCATATATAATATATAGGATAACAATCCTATACCAGCTATTACGGCCCTATTGTGTATGTAAATGTATAAGCGCATCGGATCAATCGCGTTGTATATTCCACGCCCACCCGCTGCCGCCGCCGCCGCACAAGCTTATAGATGCAAAAATGCAAAAAAAAAAAAAAGAGAGAGAGAGAAAAGTGATGAAAACGCCGTGGCGTACGCATCCATATCCAACGCTGAACGATATTCTTCGTCAGAAAAAAAAAAAAGAAAAACCTTTGAATCGCTGCCGCCGCCTCGCTTTTGTTGCCGGGCGAGCAATATATACTCCGTACGCTACTTTCTCGACGAAAAGATATTCGCGTATGATATTACGCGCGCGAGCTTTCGCGCCCGGTTACGTAGAGCTTTTTTCGTATACGATATAAATAATATATCTCGTTTTCAAATCGCGTCGATATACACACGCGGGTAAAATGAATTCGAGCGCCAGAAAAATTACAGATATAATAAAAAATAAAGAAAGGGGGCGGAGGCAAAAAAAAAATAAATAAATACAGCGGCATCGAAGGTGGTAATTTTCGTCGAGCTATAAAATTCATTATACCGCGCAGGATCGTTACGTAATGGAGCAAAAAATAATAATAATAATAATAATAATAATAAAAGCGTCCACACTCGCATGCACACACACGCTATACACCCGTTTACGTTATCTGGGACGCAATTGCTTTTTTTCTCTCTCGCTAGCTCTG